AGATCTCAGGTAAGCCTAGTTTTTGGATTTTTTGGTGGATCTGTGTGCCCTGTAGCTGGCCTAGGGTTTCTCATCAAAATCAGGAAAAATTGGAAAAAGGGGAAGAGTCTTGTTTCTGTTGGACTCTTCAATTTTGACCTAGGAAGTGGCACCCTAATTTTTTAGGGTTCCTCGGACTTTTCTGTAAGGGGCGGTTCAAGTCTTGCCTGATTTGGAGGCTTCTAGAGAGAGCAGCTGCCTCTTCTCTCTTTTCTCCCGTCCCACAGAAAAGGAATCTTTTGTGGGAAGACAGTCTAGGACACCAGAAATGTGTTGTTGGTTCCAGAAGTGTTTCATTTGATCTTCTTGCATATTTCAGTTATTTCTTTACACTTTTTGAGAAGCATGGAGGGTCACGAAGTTGAAAATAAGCCCGGGAGTGAAATGAGATCAGTGGAAGGAGGTGTTGGAGACCTTTTCGGGACTAAGACCATTACTACAGTTAGGTTGGATGGTGCAAATTACTTTGAATGGTTACAATCTGCAAAAATAGCCATTGGTGTTCGTGGGAAATTAGGGTATATCACTGGTGAAGAAGTGAAACCCGAAACTAGCAACTCTCGGTGGGTATAGGAGAATTATATGGTGATGACTTGGTTGTGTAATCCACAGGTAGTTCACTCTACTTCCTTTGCTCACACAGGTAGTTCACACGTCACTGCAAATTATGTTTCTACTTCAGGTAAGGAGGGACCTCATTGGATTATAGATTCTGGAGCCTCAGAACACATGACCCATAGCTCTACTATTTTTTCTTCTTACCAGCTCTGTTCTGGCAGAGATAGGGTCTTCACAGCTGATGGATCCCATGTTCCCATTGCTGGGAAGGGATCTGTCAAGATTAGTGATTCTATTTCTCTACCCTCTGTCCTTCATGTTCCCAGATTAATTTGTTATCTGTTAGTAGTGGAGACCTTACCATGTGTGGGGACCTTACCATGTTCCTTCTATGGGAGGCTATTGATGTTTTCTCTTATTTGTGGATGATTTCTCACGATACTCTTGGATTTACCTGATGAGATCCTGCGATGAAGTACCATCCTTGGTGAGGCAATTTCATCAGATGGTGCTAACACAGTTTGAAACAAGAATAAAGGTGTTCAGATCAGACAATGCCAGGGAATATTTTGAAAAATACCTTGCCTCATATCTGTTAGAATATGGCGCTGTCCATCAGAGCAGTTGTCCCTACAGTCCACAGTAAAATGGTGTTGCAGAAAGGAAGAACAGACACAATGTTGAGATTGCAAAAAGCATGATGATCACATCTACGGTTCAGTTCGGTTTTGGGGTGATGCAGTTCCCATAGCAGTATATCTGATTAACAGGGTGCCCTCTCGTATACTTGGATTCAGCACCCCATTCAGTCTCCTTTTTCCTGAGGGGGAGATGTTTCATATTCCTCTTAGGGTGTTTAGGTGTGTCTGCTTTGCACATATCCTTGGTCCTCACCGCTCGAAGCTTGATCCCAAGGCAAAAAAGTGTATTCCTTGGATATGCAGAAAATCAGAAAGGGTACTGCTGCTATGATCCAGTCTCTGGGAGCCGGTATGTTACCATGGATGTCACATTTTCTGAACCCACATACTTCTTCTCAAAGAATCATTCTCAGGGGGAGTGTTTTGGGGAAGTGAGTCAGCAGTCTATTCCTCTCCCAGTTCCAGTCCCTGTGTCTACTCCTGTGCTTGACTCTCCTGTGTCACCTACCTTACCACCTCCTTTGTGTCTTGCTTCTCAGCATTACTTACGACAGAGACTTCACAAGGAGGTTGATTCCACTACATCAGAACTCACATCACTTTCTGTCGGTTCCTTGGAGACTCCAGATTCAACTGACATGGATTCAGGTATTCCTCTTGGTCCTGCTATTGTTTCAGTTCCCATTGATTGTACTAACCTTGTTACAGATAACCTTGATGTTCCTATTGCTCTCAGAAAAGGGAAGAGAAAGTGTATCTGCTCATTGTATTTCACAGTACTTATCCTATAGTGGACTTTCTCCTTCCTACCGTGTTTTTCTTTCCTCTCTTGACTCAGTGTCTATACCCAAGGGTATTAGTGAGGCTCTCTCTAAACCTGAGTGGAAGACAACTATGCAGGAAGAGATGACAGCTTTGATTAAGAATCAGACATGGGACATTGTGGATCTACCAGAAGGTAAGGAGACAGTTGGATGCAGATGGGTTTACACAGTAAAATATAAGGCAGATGGAAGTATAGAAAGGTACAATGCAAGACCTGTT